AACCTAGACGATTCTGTGATTCTAAGTCATTGTGTCTGCCTCTGCTAACATCCTAGCTCCATCTCTGAGGTGCTTTCTGTGCCATGCGTAGCTGGTTCTATAAGTACCCAATGGTTCCTTCGAAAGGGAAACCTTTCCCCATATAATTAATCCAGAGCATAATCTCATTACCACGGTGTGTGACACTAAATAGGCAGCCCGTAGAGCTCTTACACGTACTCGTAAATGGGCTGCGCGAGCAAATAGGGCATATGCAAACAGCACAAGTGCAAAGGTGAGGTCTAACCACTTCATATACATTGCCACATAAAAGCAAAAATATTGGCATAGGGTTTGGCCTCTTTATGTTCTCACAGTGTTTGATCGGACCGCTACAGCCATAAAAATGGGGCATGGTCACCAGAGTGGCTGTAAAAGACGTGGGACTGTGTGGACAAAAAAGGAATTGAAAAACAATCCTCATACAAAATACAAGTATTGCTACATCTATCCACATATAAATACATCTATAAACAACATTTCAAATAATTCATGTATCAAATACAGCAATGAAAGAAAGATACAGCGCTAGGATCAAAAAACATTTCTCAAGCAAGAGAATCACTGTGGCAAATCATGGTCTCCAGAACATTTTAATTAAACTACTGCAGTCAGGTTCACTACAAAAATAATGACAGTCTCCACAACCCAAAATATTATTTGGTTCATCGAGCATGTTCTAACAATCAGAAAACTGCACAAGGAACATAATCCCTTCTTTCATGTATTAGTCTGTTTAATGAAACAGAATTAGTTCTCATTGAAGGCAGATTTAGTTAATCTTAAGTGTAAATTAAATTTCATTTCTTTTACCTGCAGCCTCTGAAAAGACTTCTTTCAGCAATAATGTTCTGCATTGTGCAGAAATCAAGAAGGAATGACTCCAAGAACTGAACCTTAGCAGCATGCCCAACAACTCCCAGAAGGCTGGAGCGTGATTGCTACATTTGGGTAGTAACAACATATTGTGTTACTGTCATTAGATCAGCTTTGTGGATAGAATTTAACTGTGTTCTATGAACACATCTGAATAAAGATCATTTTGCACAGAATTCAGTGCTAGTTTAGACATCCTTAGAGGCTGATCATGTTCAATGTAACCTGCCAGAATTTCCTTTCCTTGCAGAATCCGGCCCGTCAAAATAATTGGCAATATAAAACCTTCTGAATTTTTCTTTAAGAAATTTTTGCACATACTTGCAGTATTTTAAAGGTGTGTTTCCATTAGGTTTATGTTAAATCCTTTAAAAATTAGGAACACGGCTACCTGTGCAAACCAACACAGGGAAGATACCATGTCACATGTAGACCTTCTCATAAAGAAAATTTCAGAGTAGGCATCATTAGGGACCAAAGTACTTCTGCAAATCTAGTCCTAAGATCTTCAGCATTAAAGCTGCCTGTTTGGTTTGGGTTTTTTTTAAATACTATTGAGGAAGAATCAAGAAATCAAACGATATTTAAAAATATTTTTAAAAACATTGAAATGAACTATTTACTATAGTTTCTTTTCCATGTCTGCTGCACTTCCTTGTATAATAATATCCAATGAACTATTTACTATAGTTTCTTTTCTATGTCTGCTTGTATAATAATATCTTAAATATCTCAAAATAATTATGTACACTTTATAAATTGATTACATATATTTACATTACTGAATTGAAGGAGCCCCAGTACAGCTCTTGCTCTACTTTTTCGTCCTGTTCACAGCTGTTGGAGGTGAATATATTACTCCAAAACTTTGGCCTGTTTATGAGATAGCCAGCAGGTTAAACCAGCAGCCAAGGTTACCTGCCCTGGGACAGGAAGCCCAGCCAAAGGGACAATCTTTTCGGCACTGCTTACAATGGAAGAACACATAGTCGTGTTCAGCTGCACACCTCCAACGCATCCTCGTTTCTATAGCCATGTGAAAGACACTGTGCATGACATCAGTTCTGGAATGGCTTTCTCAGGGAGTTTACTCCTTTCTCATCACAGGGTGGTTACAGACCCATACAAGTTCCCAGCTTTCAGATTTAGAGCATGAACTTCAACGCTAATTCTAGCAGAGGGATTTATTGTTTGGGGTGAGGTGGGGGGGCGATCAGTTTAGAAAACCCAATCCACCACAGCCAAGAATGCATCCACCTTTTACCAGCTGAAGTTTTGATGGATAGGGTACAATTTGTTCCAACTATAGGGGCAAAATATCCAAAGATACAGAGGACAAAAATGATTGGAAATGAATGCAGCCTCTTTCCCTCGCTTCCGCTTCCCAATCTCTGTTTTTTTTTTTACTACGTGATCCACACAACAATATCTGCAAGAAGTTAGAGGAGGGCACAGTTAGTATTGTTACCTTTTATTGTACGAAATATACCATGCGTGCATGCTAAAAATAATAAAACCAGGTTTTAATTTCACAATGGGTAGGTACTTCACCAGTCTAGGAGAAAACTGTATCTGTGATTCACAGATCAGACAGGGGATTATGTTCCATGTTATGATGCAAAAGCTGATTAAACAGCAATACCAAATTCACTTCCTAATAGACTAGTTAATTAAGGGAGAGCAAACAGTATTATTAGGACATGTCTTCAAAAGAGTTTTCTGTGATTCAACTCATTACAGAAGTAATGGTTGTAGCAACAAGATCAATTGCAGATCAATTCACTCAAGACCTGACAAAACCAGGTAGCGGTAGGAAACAATACGCCTCACCAAAGGGATTTGGCATCAAGCAAGTCTTTGGAATAATTAATTATCTGGTAGGAGAAAACACAGTCCCAAGAAGACTGGACCTCAGAGATGGTTCAAGCACTGCTATATAAAAAGGTATGCCTAAAAAGGCATACCTTAATTAGG